AAAAAAAAAAAACAGCTGTGTTAGAGATTTATGTGAAAGAATTCTACGCTCCACTGCTTCTTCGTCAAAATCCTACTAGCTACTTTATAGGTAATTCGTTCGACACCAACATTATACCGCGCAAACTATATCTACGAAACATATAAGGAAAATTGCACAGAGCCGGAACCTATTTACTTCCCGATTGATTCACAAACACAATCATTCACTGCTTATGTGGTTGGAGATATGGAAGATAATGCCATAAAATATTATCGACCTGATGGTACTGTGTCGTAATGACCTTCAGAGAATGACTTATTTTATTAGTATTATTACTTTTGTTCTTAATCAAATAAAATACTTCAAATTTTTACTGGAAAGAAGGTCTTGTTGACTTTGCTTTTCAGGTAGTAAGAAAGAGCCTTTCACTATATGGAAAGATCTTGGAATGGGATCGCGAATGGATCAGATTATTAGAGGTATAGAAATCTTTCGTTCAAGGCACTAGCAGGTGTATCAAAATAGAAGTTTTTTATTTTTTTTTAGAGTTGTAGCCAAAAAAAGTGTGATTATAATAAAAAAATTGCAGTTTATTTTAATTACAGAGTGTGACGACGGATGGGAGCTTAGTGGGAATAGATGTTGGCATTTCGGAATAGTTCCTCGAACATGGTCAGAGGCAAGGGATTTGTGCCACAATAACAACGCTGTTCTGATAACCATATTTAATCAAGCGGAACAGGACTACATTGACTGTAAAAATTGCACTATTTGAATTTTTTGTTATTTTATCTTCTTCACTGCAAAAACTTTTTCTAATTTTGCTGGTTTTTTCAGCATTAGCACGCGGTGAGCCGTACTGGACTGGATTGAAATATGACAGCACATCATCAGCTTATGTATGGGATACGACCGAAGGAACGCCGCTCACTGTATTCATTTCAAAAGATGATTTCAAATTATCTTATAATAAAAAAACACGACACATGGCTGTAAAAAAAACAATTTTTTAAATACATTGATTTTTAGAACATTTCAGTTAAGTTTAATCATTGCAGCTTAGTAGTACGGGCTACAATAACTTCCCAGGTGGTAATGTGCCAGCCTTTAACTTGACAACGCAGTGTGTTTTTGATAAACATCCTGTCGGATGGTCTCTTGCGGCTTGTTCGGAAAGGCGATCTTACGTTTGCGTAAAACATGCTTGTCAGTTTTAGCATTTACTACTCTTGACAGTAATCTCTTTGTAAAACAGGTTAAAACATCAACACATGCTAGTTGTCAGGCATAGTACTAATTGCAATCTATTGGAATTAGTTGTTTTGAGGTTCAAAAAACATCTGTGTTTCTAAATATCTTGAGAAGAATGTTGTTAGTTCAACAAGTGTTGCGAATAGTCGCATTAGCTTAACATCTGCTGAAGAGACAAGTAAGTGAAAAGTAGGAAGTGTGGGGGTGTGTTTAGGTAATCGGTTGTTTTTTGATAATGGGTTGCTTTCGTAAAAAACCTTGTCGAAAATTTTGGCTCAAATCTGTCCAAAAACTTTTATACCACTGTAACATCTTTCCTCATAGCAGATCTTGTTATAATCAAACAAACAAACAGAATATGAAATATGAAGAATAAAAGTTAAAAAACTTATTACATTTTTAGTAAAGAAATAAAACGTTTTTTTGAGAACAGCGTAAGGAAAACTTTTATTTTTAGACAATGCTGATTATGAACCAGACTTCCAGGATCTTGGAGGTTAGTAGTGGTCTTATTTTGCAATTTTTTTTGTTTTAGCTTCTGTTTCAATTTTTTATTAAAAATAAATTCAGTTTTTAGATGCTAATGAAAATCTAAAATTTTCAGGTGACAGATTATAAGGTATTAAGACAAATTTGAGTTTCAGATCTTCTGGCTAGAGGAATTTGGAAAATGACTGTGCAAACAATTAGTGGAGCTTGTTCAGTACAGATCTACAGTCAAAGTGCCATTCAAATGTTTATGGAGTTTTCATCCGATATTCACAGCGATTTTGGCTCGCAGCAACCGTACGTTCAAGCAAGTATGTATTTCCTTGAACACAATGAACCATAAGCTGTATCATCCTGAAATTTAATCTTAATTCAAGAATATTTTTTAATTTATTGAAATAGGAATAGAAGTTCAGCAGTTGTGACTGGAAAAAAATTTTTTAAATTAAGATTAGACTTTAGAATGATCCGAAGGTTTTAATTTGAGGCTGTATGTATGAAATGCTGTAACTAGCTGTTATTCAAAATTTTTAAGTCAACTTACACATATGGAATTCCTAAACTTCTATAATGCCAAACAAGTTCAAAAATCATTCACTGGTTACAGGCGACAACAGAATAATAGCTCACGTTACAAAGCAGACCAGCACTAGCGCAGGTTTGACTGGCTCGTTGCAGTACGCCCACTTATACAAAATAAGCAGCAACATAACTATAGTACAGGCTCAGGTGTCTATTAGATCCGTTGTGTAAACTTTTTCGTAATCATTTGTATCTTTGAAAAAATGACCACAACATTCTTGCAGACGTTCTCCAAGCGTGATATGGCTACATGCGCATTTGAGTACTTATCAACTTCTTTCAAGTGTCCGTCTGAGCATTTCTTATCGCTGGTATGTTAGTCTCATAAATCTGTCTACATGAACATGAACACTGAACAACGAACAGCAAAAAGCGATTTAGTTCTACAATAGTTTTACTACAAAAAACTCAAAAATAATCTTCGTTTAAGAATACTGGCATTGATCGATTCGGATACCTGTATCAGCGAATCCAACCAATCTCTTGTTTCAAAGGACCCGTCCCGGGAGACTGTGTAAATGGTGTTTATAATCAAGGGCATTGCGTATGCGATCCATATTACGAGGGCGAGTTGTGTGAAACGCCTATTTGTCAAAAAGGAACCTTAGACAGTTTGCGAGAAAACTGCAAGTGCTTTGCAGGCTATGCTGGGGTTGTCTGTGACATACGTTAGTCTTTAGAATTGCAAAATATCTCTTTCTTTCTCAACTTTTACCGATTTACAATTTTTACTTTGTAAATTTAATTAGTCAAACAGTGCATATGAGTTTAGCGGTCTGCAATCGTGGTACTTCTCAAAATATGCCGTCTATAAATAATCGAACTTTTGTCCTCCTTCTTGACGGTTCAAAGACTGGCCGAATGAAAAATATAGCATCGTCGTAAGTTTCATTCAGTTTCTTCTTATTACACTATTTTTCCCCTGGGTAGTCTTTAAAAGCAGTGGTTGCCGTAAATGAGAAGGAAATAAATTCTTAAATTTGGTTTACAAGTAGACATTATATTGTTGTTTTAAAATTGGCTTCATTTTTTATCATCTAAAGTTTTTAGGCTGGAAGACTTACTAACATCCGTATTTGATGAATCCAATGAGCCTGAGTATCGTGGCTGGTTCACCCATTACACAGGCGTAGTCTTCCGAGATTCAAGTGTCGGTGAACAGTCAGTGTCTGAAGTAATTGAGTCGGACGACTCCACTGACTTTGTTAAAAAAATGCTGGTACTCATTTATAACGTTGAACTATATTTACTAGTTGTAAATTTTGTTTGTTTGATGTTGGAAATGTTGCTTGTAATCCGAAAACAAATTACTGCAGGCCGAAAGAGACAAGTCATACACACCTAGTGGAGAATCAAGGTCTGTGATGGCGGCTATAGTGCGTGCTATGCAAAGTACATACGTTCAGCCTCGTTCCTATGTCTTTGTTCTAACTGGTGCTGATGCTGAAGATTACGAGCGTAAAACTGCAGCAATAGAAGCACTGGCACGAACACACTGCTATGTGGGTTATGCAGTCTTTTTTATTGCATCTTATTTTCATTTGCCAATCGTATCTTTCCTTAGGTATCTAACTTGTACTAGCTAATAGGTTTCAAATTAATTTTTATTGAAAGCGGAGAAGAGCAAAACGAAAATTTACAGGTAGAATTTTTGATTGTTGGCGATGAGGAGGCTCCTGGAGGAGGTAAAAACTATACCAAGCCACAACTGGTTGCATATTACGACATTGTCAGAGAGACCAGTGGCCAACTATACCAAGTAATTACAGGATGAAAAATTGTAGTTTGTGTCAGCTTTGCTTTTCACACATGAATAGCAGTATTCTTTGATGTAGGTGCAAGACAACGAAGGCAACGTTGATGTTTTTAAAACGTTCTGGAGGAGTCTGTTTTCCACGTATTACGATACGTTCTTCGTTACCACCGTGCAAAAGCAGTAAATATTTCAAGTCATTACTTTGTGACTTTACAATTAGGGGAAACACGTGAACTAGGAAAGTGATTTTTGTTTTTTGAAACAATGCTTTTTTTATGGTCTTGTTTATGTTTTGGAACATTTTACCTGTTACCAACGAGCCACGTTGGGAAATTAAAGGCTATGGCACTTTATGGCATTTATACAAATTTTATCTTTATATCTGCAGTGGCTTAGTTTTCTTTAGAGACTGCTCGTCGGGTATCGATGAGTACGTTCAACTCGGCTACAACGCCTCAACCTTGATTATTGACGCTGTTGGGAGTGGCCAAGTTTCCATTTTCGATCCGCAAAGTAAACTTCATTTTTCCTCCTTTTTTTTTAGAAGAAATTGATATTATTAAAAGTTATTACGCGAAAATAATTTTGTATTTAAAAGTAACTGATTACTAAACTTTTTTAAAATGTTTTTAACCTTTATTTATTGGTCTTAATAGCGGTTAATTTCACTTGTAGATAGGCAAGTGAATAATATCAATTCAATAAAAGGATCAAGAACTAATCGAGTGAATACAGTCTCGGTAAATATGACGGGACTCTGGAAGATTACACTGCCTGAATACAAAGGTTTCTGCAGATTACAAGTCAAAGGAAAGTCCAATATTGAAATATTTATTGGCTATGTACATGACGGTACAGACGGTGGACTGCATTCAAGGGATGTCGATTATAGACCTCTTACAGGTTTGCAAATGATTATGCAGTTTACTGAGTGGTTGTAAATAATTATAAGCGAAGAATATAAAACATTTTTTAGACGGTGTTAATGCGGTAGTGGCCAAATCTGATGTAGCTAAAATTAATTTTGTCCAAATCTTTTCTTTGGATGAGAGAAAACTGCTATGGTCGTCCCCAATGATCGCTCGAAGAAGTTGCACATATCAGTATGTATCATCGTGAGTTTTTTGTTCTTTTTTTTTTTTGATTAATTTCTGCTTATTGTTATTTTTCTTATTACTCATTTTACTTTCTTAAAGTTTTCTTTTTTTGACTATCTGCTACTTGTTTTTACTAAACTTTTTTTTCCAAATAGTTAGATATGCCTGGGTTTAATTGAAAATAATATATTTATCTAATGTTGGCCTTGACTAATAAATCAAGAGTTTATTTTACCGTAAGTTTATGATAAAACGTAAAGTTATGCTCATGACCTTATTACTCATCCTTGTCGAGTTGCAGTAGGACTTTCACTTGCACAGAACCATCGCTCTCAGTCGCTGTTGAGGGTGAAGACGACAGAGGTTATCCAATACGCCGAATGATTCACACCCACTGCGTTGGCAATTTTGCAACAAGTATCGTTTTTGTTTTATTAACTGTGTTTAAACCCAATGCGATCGACTTAAATGTTTGAGTTCAAATGAGTGAATATTATACGACTCGAGGCTCAAAAATTTAATATTTTTACCGTAGTTGCAATTAGGTTCTACGGCATGGTTGTTCTACGAATACTATTTTGTGGTATTTGGCTGCAATAAAAATTGATAATTTTTATGGCAATATCAGCGAGTTCCGTCACTTTGAACTGCGGCGGAAAGACTTATAAGAAAAGTTATTTTATAAACTCAAATATTTGAAAGTCTTATGTCAAATTTTTTTGCAGTTATTCTTTTTTTTTAATTCAAGAACTAGATTAGTAAATTTGGCATTCATCAACAAGGATGGCACAAATTTTGTACAGTCCAAATGTCAAGTTATCAGAATTTGCATAACTAGCACAATTTTTTCAAACAAGTTTTTTTTCCTATTCTATTTTTAAATTTTTAACTGCATGGCAATTTATGTAACATCTCTTTTTGAAACGTCACTTTTCAGATTAGAAACTAAAACCATACTTTGAATCTTTTTGGTAGGCGCTGTAGCAAGACGTATTAAAATAAGAAATTGTGTTGTAAGTGTGACGACTGGCATTATGGTGATAAAACTGCCAGTCGTACATATAGTTTAAAAAAATTAAATGTATTTTCTCTTCGGGTATCTTTTTTAATAAAATTGATAGAAATTAATTTTTGGATGGATAAATATAGAGGAATTTTAGCTGCTGCACCTGGAACAACAGCTACACTTCTTACAACAACACCTGTGGTAACGCTTAAACCATTACAGTGTGACGACAACGCTAAGTTCGATATAATACTTATGTTTGACGGCTCTGACGGATTTAATGCTAATGATTTTGAAGACGTAAGCTACAGTCATTTGTGAAAACATCTATGAACTCAAAATTGATACATCCATTTCATTTTGAATGCAGTAACGTTTGACTTTTGGTAAACAAATGAAATTAATGAAAATCAAAACATAAGACAGCGAATAGATGAGGGAATTTCACTCTGAAAAGCTTAAATTAGGCAGCAATTTATTTTCTATGATTCATTATTGTAGAAAGTTACTGTTTATAAATTTTACCACTGGCTTCGCATTTTCCAGGATACTACAAAAATTATGAAATTTTTTGAATTAACTGAATTAAAAGAAATGGTTGTTCAATTCTATAGAAGAACTGACATTATAGTCTTATGAATTCTTTTTTGAATGTCGTCGATGTGAAGAAGAGTAAGCGTAGTCTTTAACAGTATCATTCGCAATTATCGTTCTGTATAATTAGGCAACTGTATCAATACGCTTTGAAATAAAAGAGTTTTTTTTCAAAAACAAATAATTTTTCAAAATTTTTAAAGGTATATAATAAGAAGCCTTTATGGTTTCATTCTGGGACTACATCTATATGCTGTATTCAGCATAGTATAGAGAGTATCGGCAATAATACACTTGAATAATAGATGCTAAATTACGTCAAGTTTTTTTTTTTTTTGACATAATATTAATCTCATAAAAATTGGTTAAAAATTTACTAAAACTTGCCAACGAAAGAAAAAAAAGAATTTAGTAATATCTTTGTTTTGGACTGCATATTTACAGCAAAATTTTGAAATGCTGCTAATATTAGTACTGAAAATTTGTTTCTATGATAATTCATTGTAAAAAATTGATTTGACAGGTCTTTCTTATCTTTTATTTATATTATTTACAGATCACTCCAGAAACGATATTTTACTCTTTTATTCAAATTTTTTTCTGTAGGATACGGTCACAATTAACAACAGATTATGTATCTATTTAGAAAGCCTATCAAGTTTGTTGAATCCAAAATGCAATCTGTTAAACGGAATATCATTTTCAGGTTGTCAAAGCGTTTGAGTCAGTTCCAGAAAAGATGAACATTTCACAAAATGGTATTCGATTCGCAATTGGAACATATGCTGAAAGTGCAGAAATCTTTTCAACGTTTGAGAACACCGACGTCACCGAATTCCACAACACGCTGCAACGCCTTGTTTCGTTTGGACATGAAGGCGTTACTGCCAATAATATTTCTGAGTTAGTTTTTTATCATTAGTTTTTTTATATGATTTTAGTCACCGGCAGATTTGAGTAATTTACAATTTACAAAAAAAAAAAAATTTTGACTCAAATTTTACTAATAATTATTTGACTAAACATGAAAATTTTTAATTTCATTGTTGCATAATTACGATTGTTAATTTAGCATATTCACAAAAATAGAGAACCTTAATTTCCGAGACAGCGTACCTCGTGTACTCGTCATGTTTTCTTCTTTGAGACTAGATGTAGGACTTGGAGAAGGTATGTTTTTAAAAAGTACTGGATTTTAGGCAGGCATTGACGGTGCTCCTGACGACTGTGTAATTTAGTAGATTTTGCGAATTTGATAGAATACTTTTGAAACAAATTTGTTTATTACAGCGACAGAAGCTAAACAGTTTATTACACAGCTGCAAAAGCTCTGTTATTAACTACTGATCAGTTTAGTTTCAAAGCCAAAACTAATTTTTCACCCTACTTGCTTTAGCTTACCCAGATCCAAAACAGCAAGCTGAGGAATTCCGGGCAAAGGGCAAAATATTGCCAATTGGTTATGGAAAATATGTAGATGCTGACTTACTGAAAAATCTTGGGAACAATTGTGCTAAGTTTGCTGGAGACATGCTAGAAATGAAAGCACTTCTTCCTTGGGTTACATCATCGCTGTGCAGGTTTGTAATTGGTTACCTTAAGAAACTACCTTTACTTTGGTTGACTGGTTAATCAACAGAAAAAGGAGTATGGTTCTTTTCCTTATCAAAAATTGAAAGAAAAAATAGTCCGTAGTTATGGTTAATCATCACTTTTTGCGCGTAAGCCTTAGATTTATGCAATTCAAGTTAAGTTTTTTGAAATTTCGGGTTAGTTTAAACTTAAGTGGTCATTTAAACTAAGCTTTTAAGTCAATTTTACCGTAGTTAGATTTTTTACTTTCAAACGAATGTTTAACAATGCAGAAGACGGTTGAGTTTGTTTAGAACTTTGACTTTCTAGTATAGAGCGCAGTCGTTTACAGAAAAAAAAGTTATTTCTTATGCAGAGAAAGATGTCGTTTAATGGTTCTGAAATAATTAAAAGGAACTTTAGACTAACTAGTAATTTTTGAATATTTTTAAGCTAGACTTTATTTCAGTAGTGCTCCATACTGTTGAGGGGATGAAGTAACACCAACTTCGATTGAGTCGCACTCATACGCTTCTTTATCAACATTATAAATCATGAAGAATTTGTATTACTGCAAATGTGATTATTGATGTCGAATTAATTATTAATAAATTTGGAAAGTAAAAGATTGCATGTAAGGAGTTCCAAGTTTTGTGGCTGCCATTATTAACATTTAAGTTATTTTACGATAAAAAATGTTGTTTGCAGAAAAAAACTACTGTCTTATACTCACAACAACAGCTTTATCACTGATTTTTAAAAATTAGAGTATAAAAGCTTTTAATGAACCTAAAAAGAAAGCAGCAAAAGAAGTCGAATGAATTTTTGATAGTAACAGTACACTGGTAGAGTACACTTCCTTTTTCTTCTTTCTCAACTCATCCTGTATAAGAAAAAATAAATGAAATCTTTTTTTAGCAGGTTTATTAGTCTTCAAAATTCATTCAAAGAGCAATAATTACATTAGAAGTTTACACCGCAGTAGCTTAGAAATTTGTTTAGCTGAAGACTGACTGACAGCTAAACAGTTAAACCAAGAAGCAATACAATAGAGATCGGCGCCAAACTAAAGATTTTGAGGAAATGCGTGTCAGAACGGAATTAGCCAAAGAAAGCAAGGTAAAAGCAGCGTTATTAAGCATTAAACATGAGTACTTTTCAGCCCAAACAAAAGGCAAGGGATAACTTAGCATAGTCTCATAAATCGCTTTCGCGGCACTTGCAGTTTTCAGTATGATGTGAACAGCTTTTGATAAAGTGAAGAGCAAAATTCCTCTAAATTTTGAGTGTGCTTTAGTAAGATAGCTTTCCGTAAAAGTATTTCTATCTTTTTTAGATGCTGTTGTTGTTCTTGCTTAGTGGAAAGAATCATCTTACGATGAGTGACAGCGACAGAAGTCAGAGCTGTTGAAACTCTTTTTATTTATCAGACTAAGTTTTTAACTTTGAATGAGACCGCCTCTTTCATTATTAGTGTTTTTTTATTCTGCGGCTTTGACTGTGTCGGTGAATCTCAGTTGCAAAAATGAGCTGCATCTTATTTTTTTTTGTCCTCTTTTTTACAGTTATTCAAAAAATCTTTTTATTTGCATTCTTTTATACGACAACAATGTCAGGTAAATTTTATTAAATTTTCGTTGAAGTCCAAATCGTTCACTGATACTGTCTTTCTCAAAGTCATTATATAGCTAGTTTCAGCTAAGTTCATCTACCCAAACCTGTGTATTTGATGCAAGTTGTATAAAGAAAGATAAGAAAGTGGTGGTGAAAGCCGCTCCAGAACATAGACATTTAACACACTTTTCAGCAGGTTCAAGAACGATGGAATTAAAGGCTGAGTCAAATTTTAAAGAATAATTTGGTACTTGCTTCTCTAAACTCAAAATAACATTACTGTTTGTATTATACTTTTAGGAAATTTAAGAACCTGACTCTCTTTTACAAGTTGACTTCGTACCAGGTGTTTCCTCCCTATTGTGAAGGTTTTCAGGAAATGATCGTTTTTGATTTTTATAACATAAGAAGCGTTCTCAGGCCATATTTTTTCTAGTAAACCAGTTTTTATTGAAAAATTATAAGAACAACACCTCCAGATATGTTTACATTGTTTTGCAAATAAATTTGTTATTTCTCTGTAGTGGGGGCAATTATGCAAAATGAAGAGGTGTCGAAATACAACTTTACTCTTTGTTAAATGATTTGGTAAATGTAAAATCAGTCAAAATGTTCTAGAAAAAGCACTTTGCTAGAACAAGAGAGGAGAAACGCAACATACGGAAAGCGTTGTGTAGTATGTTTCAAGCAATAAGTTTAATTTTTGATTGTTAAAAATGGATAAGCTGAAGTCGTGCAGCATAATATTTGTTGCATCTAAAAAGGATCAGAGTGTGCGAAGCAAAATTGTTGTGCTGTCTGCTTTATTATGTTGAAACTAACCAAAAACTGTTAAGCTGAAAAAAAATTATAGATGGTTCAGTAATAAGTGAATAACAAAAATAATTACAAACTACAAAAAATTACACTGATAACAGTTATGCTGAAGTATAACTCTTTATTACTTAGGCAAATAGTGATGCTTAACTGTTTTGATTTGACTGCAGCGTTATAAAATTTTTCTTCTTCTGTTAACTAATTTTTTAATAATTGTTTTAACAGGATTTGAAGAATATTTAGAAAATAATGAGCCATAAATCTTAAAAAAAATTTTTGTATTTTCCGAAAACGTTAATTTGACTTTTAAGCAACTTTGGAAACAGAAAACCTGCAAAAAGGTCTAATAATATTAGAGAAATATATCATTTAGCTGGCTAAAAAAATTTTGAGTATTAAACCATCTTCTAAGTTGTTGCTGCGGAGGAAAAGCTTGGAGAGTTTTTTCGATTGACTGCGACAAGAAAACTGAAGTAGAAATTTGTACGTATATAGCACCGCTTGTGTCCCACTGTTCTCCTTCATATAGTCAAGCTTGAAGGTAGCAGAGTACCTATTCCTATTCTAACGCTAATTCTTCCAGTTCTCTGGCATATTTTTTTCTATCGTTGACGCGCTTTGCTGATGGAGTTTTATTACATCGAGGAGCTTTGTGAACACTCAAGGAAGGGAGACTCAGAAAGCATCCGTCGTTTATTGCACAAAAACAAGGAGATTAGCAAAGACAGAATGAAAGAAGCAATGGTTATTTTCTGTAAAATATGATGGCTTTTGTTCCTGATGCCTTTTGTCAGTTACTCATTTTAATGGCCAACAGAAAATTTGTCTGCCAATCTACAAAGAGCTTATTCAAAAAAAAAATTAATTACTCTGGTCAGCGTTATCAGTTAAAAAAGTGTTGACAAATTGCCACTGAAGGTCTTGCAAGCAAAAAGTAGGCTCTAAGGAACAGTAAGCAAAGCAGAATTTCATTTATACACGTCTCGTACTGAGTAAAAACTGGCTTTGACGTTGTCTTAGTGCTGATAAGTTTTTATTGCATGAGAAATGCGTTATTAAAATAACGAAAGCGTTAAAAACAAAGCTGCAAATATTTTATTCCCTTAGTTCACAACAGTTTTCAACTCAATACGGTGACATTTCTCTTTCACTTCAGGAAAGAGCCTTGTCCACAACAGCTGAATGCGGATACCTGAATATTGTAAAATTTCTTGTGGATTATGGAGTCAACACCAATACAGAATATGAGGACGGGGTAATATTTAGATGTAATCCTCAAAACTCACGCGCTGCTTTTGCATGAGTACTGACGAAAAAAGTGGGAACTAAAAGGGCTCTAGAGGACTTTGGCTGCTTATAGCATTTTAATAATATTTCAATTAAAAAAAGTAGCTGGAAAGGTAAAGCGAATAAGGGTGAAAAAGTTATGAATTAATTAATTAGGCAAACGTTTGAGAAAGTCGTTTTACTGGCAAAAGCAGTTAATAATTCCATAGTACTTAACAGAAGAAGAAACACATTCTATGCTTTTTTCTTCTATCGTTAACATTCGTTTTCTTATAGATTAAAATCTTACTTTTTGTGCATAGCTTATACAGCTCATTGTTCTCTTGTAAACCACGTTTAGAGACTAGAGTACAAACTTTCAATGAGAATTTTAAAACTTCTGACGACAAAAACTGTTACAAATCTGCATACTCGTTATTCTTTTCAAAAAACCTCCCTGGTTTAATGTATAAAAAAATATCTTTTTTTCTTTAGGGATCCCTGCTGTTTAAAGTGGCTTCTAGTGGAAACGTTGAGTTAGTGGAATACTTTGTCAACTGTGGGGATGACGTTTCTGCTGAGGACAAATATCAAGTACATATCTGCAGAATTTTTTGAACAGAATGTGCTTTGGAAAAATTTTTGGGGTTCCTTATAAAGTTAATGGTTTTAGTACTATTGTGCTATTTTAAAAAATTTTTCTTTATTGGGTTCGTAACCAGGTAAGTTTCCCGTGATGTTTAACTTTACTGTAACCAACAGATAAATTTATATTTGCTATTTACTTTTCTTCTTTTTATTGAGTTTCCGAGGGCACTCTTAACAGCAATCGCACTTTAAAAAAATTTTTGGTTATGTCGCGCCCAATTTTTGATTTTTTTATATCAATGGCCCTTCTTGCTTATACTTCGCTCTGTTCTGCACAACCCCATGAACTATGAGGCTGGACAAGAAGCATGCAGTACTCATGACCAACACTTTTGTTTTACAAAAAGTATAAAAAAGAAAGAAAAAGCAAGGATTAAAACTTTTCGAACAGGAAACGATGCTTTGACTGGACGTCTGAGAACTTGTGAACAGAAAGTAAAGATAGATGTTTTCAGCAAAGCTTTTTTTTGAGCGGAAGTAAAAAATCAAAATGGTATTGTAAAAAATCTGAGAACAAAAGTTACTTATGATTTACTGGAGCTTGATAGAAGTATGTTGATTAAAAAAAATGACACAAGGAAAAGATCAAGAAGTAAGGAGGTGAAGAAAACGTGAAAACTGAATGAACCAAAAATACGTTTGCTTGCGTAGTTCACGTGAAATTTTTGAAGAAAATAATCGTAGACAAAAGATAATTGTTCTTTTAGCGCAAGAGG